CAAATGTTTGCAAAGATATGGACACAGGGAACCCCCTGTACTCTTCTGGTAGAAACCAGTCCAGGTACTGTGGAAGTTTCTCAAAAATCTAACAATATAGATGTCCCATATATTGATCAGTACTCATTTGTACCAACTCTTCTTAGACCCAAGGCTCAGGGAACATCTCATAAGAAAGGTGGAAAGAAGAGATGAAGGATGGGAAGGAATGCTGTGAAATGATATCCACTAGACACAACCTGGTTCTTGGGGACATGAACAGACAAAAGCTATGCTACCTGTACAGGATCAAGTCACTTTAAAAGCCTAGCATGACTTTGTAAACCTATGAGGGAGTCAGAAAATCATGAAAGGGATGTGAGCGGAGTAGCAATAGCTGAGTGTTTACTCAGTCTTGCAAAAACACAGGTGATGGAAGAAGGTGGCAGAGACAAGGGTAGCAATAATGGGGACTAGAAGAAATAATCAGATTCTGGCTCATTTGAAAAGCAAAGCCAGCACAATCTGCTGATGACTTAGGTAGGTGTAAACTAGTCCAGTTACTATGAATTGTCTTCAAAGGTCTACCATATGGGTATCTGTGTGGAAGACTCCAGTGTATCAGAGACACTAGAAAGTGGATATTTATTGCACCCTAAGTCTCTGATAACAGAGAAATGAATAAGAAAACAGAGTGTATATGTAAATAAGGGAAGAATAAAGTTACACCATTTGTAAGGAAATAGGTGCAATTGGAGATAATCATATCAAGTGAGTTTGGCCATTCTCAGAAAGACAAATACCATGTATTTTCTCTCATTTGTGGTTCTTAGATTTTCTTTAGGCATACAAAAGTGTGAGTGTGTCTATAAAGTGGCATTAGAAGTTAATAAAAGGGAATACATGAAGGGAAATAGAGACAAATGGAAGAAGGAAAGAGGGATAAAAATGGAGGAGAGAGGAAGAAGAAACAAGGCAATGGGGAATTTTATTAAACTGATAAATAAATTTAAAAATTCAGCGTGAAGAGGTAAGCGTATGGCAAGGCCCTATCTTTGCTAGTGGAGGTTTTGACACTTGATAGCTTCTGAGGATCTCAGAGACGTTTTCTGCTCATGCCCCAGTGGGTAGAGAGCCCCGTGTCATGGACAACACTAACCGAACTAAGTGGGTAAATGAATAAAGCCATGAAAGTGGCAGGGAGATGTGATGAGGGGCCAGAAGGGAGCTGAAGGAGAAAGCAGAGGGTGGATAGAATCAAGGAAAATTTATCCATGTCTGAAGTTGTAAAAGATTAAATAAGAAAGATTATTTTAAAAGAAGCATTTAAGAAATAGGTAGGAGAAATAGAATATTGACCTGAAGACTTTCAGGCTATATTTCATTGTTTTCCAGATACGTGGGGAGGGGCATATCACTAATAAAATCATTTTCATTAACTTGTTAGTGAAAAAAATACATCTACAATACGATCCAGCTATACTATTCATGCATATTTGCCCAAAGATTCAAAGACAGCATATCACATAGATAATCACACATCACTGAGTATAGCTAAATCAGATCAACCTGTTGTCCAACAACAGATGAATCAACAAGTCCCAGGGTTTCTACATCTCTAAGATGACTCCTACACATCTCCAGACTTGTGCTTAGGGATGAAAGGTCTGTATTTCTAGATAATATCCAATAATTTAGACCTTGTCATTCAAGCTCATTTTCTTACTGCCTTTCGAGTAGCTGGGAAATCAGATTAAAGGATTAATGACTAAAGGGATTAATTTCAAGATTTATAAATTAATTTCAAGATTAGTAAAGTCAATAACCAGAAACAACCTGTTTACCTGCCACTATATCTATTGGTTGTTTGAAGACTGAAACAAAATGAAAATTCATAAAGCTACAGCAAATCCACATTTTGATGTAGCTATGGTTCCGAACATATGGCTTTGTATAAGCATGTCCTACTACTTAACAAAAGTACTAACTATCCTTCCTTAACACTTGAGGATCTCATTATGTACATGTCTTCTGCGGGCACAGAAATAGAGAGATACTCAAACCTCTGTGGGCTGGAATCACAGTGGATGGGTTCTTATTGTCCCTATAGAAACATGATGGTGCAAAGAGACCTGTTTTCCCAGGCACTACCCAAGGCTCCCGAGACAATTGAAAGGGTTACCTGTGGAGGGGATGAATCCATAAACCCTTCTCTTCTGAACAGCAACTTGAAAAGCCAGAGTCCTCCTCTGTCAGTTCAGAGATAAACAGAAAGGGTTCCAGTGTCGCCACAGATTGCAGACATGTTCATTTTCTGAATGAAGGTTTACCAGGGTCCTTTACAACAGCCTTCTCTAGACACCCAGGCTTCCTCATTCTTTTGGTAAGTTCTGGTGAAATATAATGTTTTCTCCATTATCTGCTTGCTTTTTTACTGTTACAAGGTAGCAGTTCTACTTTCTCAATGTTCAAATTCTGCCCATCGACAGATAAACTAAGACGTGCAAATGTTCATTAGTATAGTATACATAAAATACCTAGATATAAATATATATTTCATGTTATTTATTATATCTACATATTGTTTATATATTGTATATTTTTAAATATACATATTTATTTTTAATGGACTTAAATTATCATTTATAAGAGCCTGTCAAATAAAGATGTTATTGTTCACTACCTTACTATGATGCCATGCAAAGGCTGAACAATAAGGAGGTAATAGTTTAATCGCTGATACCTCTACACTAAGAATAAAGTTATGCCAATGATGGGAAATCGTTAAACACCTGCATGTGGCTTTATTTTTCACCTGTCTGAGCATGTCATTTACCTCTCTGATAACTAAGTGAAGTCCCACACATTGGACGTTTTGATGTTGAGATCTTTCAACCTTAGACATAAAATTGCACGGCTATTTAAATGGAGGATTATTACTCATTCCTGTACACCCACATAAGTGGAATTCACATAAAATAAGAGGATAAATGTATGCAGCGGGGGGGGGGGGGGGGGGGGGAATTACGTTTGTATCCACATTTTTTACTACAGAATTGTAAAGTTAGAGAGGCGATGTGGCCCAGTCAGGCAGTGGCAACCTTTTCTGCAACATTTCCCACAGGAAATGAGTCACTGCAAGCCACCCGCAGAGGTGGCACCTGAAACTGTGTTTAGAGTGTCCGTTAACTATGGTGATATAATTTGTGATTTATTAAAGCTTGCCTGAGGATTCAGGAAGCAAATCAGCCACAAGCCTTAGAAGCTAGGCACACACCTTTAATCCCAGCAACTGTTGAGCTAGGAAATTGTGGTACACACCTCTAATCCCAGGACTAAGGATTAAGAGGTAGACGGATCTCTGTTAGTTCAAGGCCACACTGACCTACACGAAATTGATCCAGTCCTAAAGGGAAAACAGCCCACACAAAGATGAGTTCAGCACCTGGGATCACACGCCTTTAATACCGGTACTCTTCTGATAGCTGGGAAAACAGCCTAATCCCTGGAATCCAGTTGTAGAGAGGGAGGAGTGATAAGCAAAAGGGTCAAGACCAGGCTGGATTTCTACCCATAGAGACAGCTGACCAGAACAAGGGGGAGCTCACAGCTGGGACTGATAGCTGGGAATCCAGCACTGGACTGACTCAGACCGCCTGATTGTGGGTCTCGGTTAGGAGGCCTGGGCAGTCTAAGGGTCCTCAGACAGTGGAACCAGGATGGATCCCTGGTGCACAAAGACTTTGGAAGCACATTCCTCATGGAGGGATACTCCCTTAGCCTAGAGGCAGGAGGGAGGGCATAGACCCTACTCCAAATGACTTGACAGATTTTTATGAATCCTCCTGGAAGGCCTCACCCTCCCTGTGCAGCGGAGGGTGGAAGGGGGTCAGGGCGCATGGGAGAATGGGAGGGAGAGGTAACTGGGATCCATATGTAAAGTAAGAGAAACATAAGACATTTTTAAAAAAAGACAGGAATCAAGGTCTTAGTATCAGGAATGCATTCTCCAGCCACATTAAGGATAGGAAGACAATGAAGTCTCAGGATTCTCCAGCCATGCTGAGGAGCAGCTATGGTCTGGGGTTTGATGGAGCTAGGATCTCGTTTAAGTCTGAGGTACAGTGAGAGCTACTGCTTTGCCTTTTCTGACCTTCACCTTAAAGCTTGGACCTTGGATCTGTCTCTGGGTCTTCTATTTCCTGCTACAGTCAACACTGAGTCAAAGGGCAAAGTTACTGATGCTGCTGAGCCTGACAAGCAGAACAGTTCAAATCCTGTCAGTCACGAAAATGCTCATCCGAAATGTTAATGTGAAGAAGTAAATGACAAGATTTGGGGCTGAATCTAAGCCCTTATGCTTAAATAGAGAACACTTTGTGGAGTATTCATTGTAGACTGAAAAAAATATCTGTGGAAGGAATGATGAGCCATGCTTTTTCCACTCCTACTGAGCTCTTCCCACTCAATATTCAATGCAATACACTTTTTGAAACGTTGGTCCATCGTCTCAGGTCCATTGTTTCCAACTAAAAATAATTAGAGAGTTACTGAATAATGTTAGCCAAGGCAAGGAGAATTTGTTTGAAAAGTATGTCGTACCCTGTAGAGTCAAACAAAGTTCAACTTGCATTGAAATGGATGTATTTATTGGATGAAATTTTAGGTCCATTAAAAATGTCATGATCATCAAGCAAGCAAGACAGCTCAGTGCTCTTAGAGTCACAGCAGGGTATGAGGAGAAAACAACCTCCACAAAGTTCTCCACGTGTATGTAATGACAAGCACATCCACACAAACACGCTACATCCATATACACAATAACAACCACTAAACATGTCTTGAATATTAAGAGAAGTATCTTTGTGCACATAAAGAAATCTTTAAAACTCCATTTAAACAAAAATTCATTTCAGCTCCCCTTACTTTGCTTACCTACAAAGGGTGTGCCGTTAGCACAAATCAATATTCAAGTTTACCCTTAAACCAGCCATTAACTCAGTGTCCTCTGTCACAGGGATATGGGAAACAATATGACATTGATCACAGAGTTCATCCTGCTGGGATTTCCTCTGGGCCCAGGGATGCAGATGCTTCTCTTTGTCCTCTTCTCTCTGTTCTATGCCTTCACCCTCCTGGGAAACGGGACCATCGTGGGGCTTATCTGCCTGGACTCCAGACTCCACACTCCCATGTACTTCTTCCTGTCCCACCTGGCCATCGTTGACATTGCCTATGCCTGCAACACCGTGCCCCAGATGCTGGCGAACCTCCTAGATCCAGCCAAGCCCATCTCCTTTGCTGGCTGCATGACTCAGACCTTTCTCTTTTTGACGTTTGCTATCACTGAATGCCTGCTCCTAGTGGTGATGTCCTATGACCGGTACGTGGCCATCTGCCACCCACTCCGCTACTCCGCCATCATGAGCTGGAAGGTCTGCAGCACCATGGCTGTGACGTCCTGGATCATTGGGGTGCTCCTGTCCTTGGTTCATCTGCTGTTACTTCTACCTTTACCCTTCTGTGTGGCTCAGAAAGTCAATCACTTTTTCTGTGAAATCACAGCTATTCTCAAGCTTGCCTGTGCAGACACACACCTCAATGAGACCATGGTCTTAGCTGGAGCGGTGTCTGTGCTTGTGGGACCATTCTCCTCGATTGTGGTCTCTTATGCTTGTATCCTTGGCGCTATCCTGAGGATCCAGTCAGGGGAGGGTCAAAGGAAAGCCTTTTCCACATGCTCCTCCCACCTCTGTGTGGTCGGATTATTTTATGGTACAGCCATCGTCATGTACGTTGGACCCAGACACGGGAACCCAAAGGAGCAGAAGAAATACCTTCTACTGTTTCACAGCCTTTTTAACCCCATGCTCAACCCCCTGATCTATAGTCTCAGGAACTCTGATGTGAAGAATACTTTAAGGAGAGTTCTGAGGATGCAGAGAGTTTTGTGACAAATTTACAGCATCATGCTTAACTGTTGACAGATGAAATTAACCTCTCAAGAGGGTCCTAACCATCCAGAGCATATGCATTTCCTTGAGTTAACTATCTCATGCCCCCCATTGGATGATTGGCTCAGTAGTTGTGGGAGGAATTCTAGAAATCTATCATTTCAAATGCTGACAATAACAGATGTTGGTACAGTTAGCCCCCCCCCAAATCCAAGATTTCAAAGCCACAGTTCCAAAAGAGTACTTCTCAGAGACCCAGCTAGTCATGATGCAGTGCTCTATGTCACGAAAACACCCTCTTGTTCAGAGTATAAGCCTTGCAGAGGACTTTTAAATGCCTTGTGTAATAGAAGAACATGGTGAATGACTCTGTTATGTTGCTCCGTAGGACTTACGTCTTTATTAGTATAGTGAAAGCTATAAAATTTATTTTCATTGAAAAAATAATTGTATTGCACTTTTTAAAGCCTTGGCTTTCTCCATAGTTGATTGTTGTGCCATTTTTGGGGTGGAGGGGGATACAAGCTAAGGGGAGCTTGATTGACCATTTGTGGATACTTTCTGAAAATCCCTTTTAGGACAAATATATTTTATCCCACTGTCCCCCCCCACCCCTACACACACACACACACACACACACACACACACACACACACACACACACACACACACACACACACACACACACACACACTCACACACACACACACACACACCACACACTCACACACACACACACACACACCACACACACACACCACACACACACACCACACACACACACACACACACACACACACACACACACACACACACACACACACACACACACACACACACACACACACACCACACACACACCACACACACACACACACACACACACACACACACACACACACACGTCTACGGAGCATGTCAGTCTGAGGACAGTAGCTCACATCAGTGCATGTCAAGATCTGTTTGGTTATGGAAAGTGAGGGTCACTATTTCTATTGACCCTTTAGGGACAATGACTCGAAACATCTTTTGTTTCTTGGTCCAGCGTGCCATTATAAACCTTGGGGAGTGAGACTATTCAGTCTCACAATCTTCCAAATTTGTGATTAAAAACCTGTGTGAGCTTGTTTGTATGTGTGATAAATCAAACTATATTATATATAATTTGTGGGGTGCTGGGGATGTGATTCAATGAAATGGACCCTGATTAGCATGTATGAAACCTTAGATTCCATCTCTAGCTTCTCAAAAAGAAAGTGTGTGTGTGTGCAGGTGTGTGTGCGTGCATGTGTGTGTTTGTGTGTGTGTGTGTAAGAGAAAGAGAGAGAACAGAGACAGAGACAAAAAGGTTATACTCTTTTCTTACAGAAACTTGAGAAATGTCAAAGACCACAGTTAAAAGTTGTGTCCAGCCAGGCAGTGGTGGTGCACACCTTTAATCCCAGCACTCAGAGGCAGAGGCAGGCGGGTCTCTATGAGTTTGATGCCAGCCTGGTCTACAGAGCAAGTTCCAGGACAGCCTCCAAAGCCACAGAGAAACCCTGTCTCAAGAAAAAGAAAAAAAAAAAAGAAAGAAAAGAAAACAAAAGAACAAACAAACAAACAAAACTTGTGTCCACTTGCTATGATGTAAAAAAAAAAAAAAAACAAAACAAAACATGCATTTTAAGTGATTACCTTACCTGGCTTAAATTTCATGCATATACATCTATATTGAGCTTCTGTTGCCTTTAAATGTTTTACTTTTGTACCCTAACACAGTTTTACAGCTACCAAACAGTGTTGACTATTGAACGATGCCCTAAATGACTGCTTCCACAAATGTAATATTTTGTTTATACCCCCTTTCTCTTAAATGCTGACTTATTTGATTCCCAGTTTGCAAATACCCTGAAGCACAACAAAGGGAGCTTGTATTATTTAAGAATGGCCAGTAAAGCACCAAGATTTTCCTGTAGCCAGAAACTACTACGTGTCTTCTTTGTGTATGCATCTTGTCATGGGAATGAGCAGAATTGGAACATGGGCTGGCATGCTCTCAAACGTGGATGGTTATAACAAATTTCCCCTCAAGGACATGATATAAGGAGACAGTTTGTAAATTCCACGATTGGTTGACATAAATTTTTTAAAAAAGCAATGGGCAGTGGTGGTGCATGCCTTTAATCCCAGCACTCAGGAGGTGGAGCCAGGTGGATCTCTGTGAGTTTGAGGCCAGCCTGGCCTACAGAGTGAGTGCCAGGACAGCCAAAGATACCCAGAGAAACCCTGTCTCAAAAAGAAAAAAAAAAAAAAAGAAAGCACTCTGACATCTCCATATCCAGCAAAAAATAATGAAGTAAAATATGAAGGTTATGACAGTATCTTAACTAAGGGACTTTTCCAGGGGAAGGTTTCACAGAGGAAGTCTTTTCCTCCTCCCTCCTTTGAGGGCCCGAACTCAGAATCTCTACAATTCACAGCAAATTATCTCTATGGGAGGTTTGTGCCCTAGAAGAAAGACCCCAAGGGAAGGTCCCCAAAGGCCCAACTGGGATACCTTGGCCCCTTCTTGGACTTCCCATGACTTCCTTACCAACTCCCACAGCACCTCCACAGTTTGAAATGCAACTTGGGTTTATTTGTTTATTCGTCGCATTTCTGCTACACCCCTAAGGAACTCAAGTTCCACCGAGGAGGAGCTAAACTGCACAGCAGGATCCTGGGACCTCAGTGACTGATCCTGCCTCCTGGCAGGTTCACCAGAAGCATGTGGAGATGGGGAACAGTGAACTTCTGGGACCTTTGAGGACAGATAATGCTGAGTATCTGAGAAGTGTAATGAGTGTTGAAGCCTCATGGGTGTGCTGGATGGCTGTTTCCTAATTGTGTGTTCTGTTGGGGATGAGAACAGAGATTTAAAAAGAAAGGAAAAAAAAAAAAAAAAAAAAAAAACAATGTTTGTCTCTGCTTCCCAGCAAAAGGGCATCATGCTGTCTCATGCCCCTGTACCTCCAGTGGGCCCCCAGGAGCTGCCAACTCAGCCGAGCCCTCAGAGAATAGAGCCTCCTTTCCTGAGGGCTCTCGTATTTCAGAAAGGGGCAATAGTGAGGGTTCTGTGCATATACAGAAGCTCTGAGGACACAGGACCTGTGCCAACTACCTGCTGCTTCCTCTTGTGAGATGGGAGGTTCCCTAACACGGAAGATATTGAGGTGACCTGAATTTACTCCGCCTTGAATCCCTCCCAGGCAAGTTGTGATATCTAGCCTTTAGTCATCTGTCATGCCCACTGACATTCTGTCTCCAGAAGAGACATAAATTCGTTAGTGTATGAGGGATGTGGGTGTGGTTGTGTGTGTGTGTGTGTGTGTGTGTGTGCGCGCGCGCAAGCACACACACTGTATGCCACACAATACTCACCATTCACATTCTGTATGAATGGATAGGAATTTCCACTTTGTGGGTTTAAATAAAATAAGTGGAATAAATTTCCTACTTAATAGAAATTATAGTAGAATAGCTTATGGAATGATGCTTCTGCTCCAGTAAAGTTAATATATATATATTTTTTATTGTTACGTCTAATTTTTGTCAGCACTGTCAAGACACATCCTGTGTTTGTGATGGCATATTTACTTCCGTGGAGTATAAAGCTAAATGCTTGCTAAGTGTGTGTGTTTTATACCAGCCTTCCACTGAACATAATTTTATAGACATACCCAGACACTTAGAAGGTACTCTGTAAATAAGTAGATTTGCTGTAACACTGAGAATGAGTCTTTGGGTGGAGATGGAAAGAAACAGAAAAGATACTGTGTGTCCGAGGTAACACAGCCAGAGGGAGAAGGATGAGCTGGCCACTAAAATAATTTTATATTTAATGTTTGTATCTAACATTTCTATTTTCTTTCCATCTCCGCTTCTTCCTATAAAGCACATGTTTGCAATAAAATCTTCACAGTCTCAGACCTATCAGCCTTCTGTGCATTGTACTCCCATAGTACATGGTGCATAGGAGCACTCAACAGATGATCAATTATTCCCAGCCCTCAATGAATTACAGAATGGACCGTAATTGTGTTAGAGTGATTTTCTAGTTCATGCTGGTCCAGAAAAGTCTCTACCGCTAGAAAAACCATTTTCTGTGTTAATATTCACTCCTAAGATAACTTGTCAAAGTCTATGTTTATAATTATGCAAGTAAGAAATTTAACATTTTAAGCTCTTCCTTATTATCTGCAAATAAAAAATTCTTCATTTGAGCTGTTTTATGAATTCCACTTTACCCAAAGCTTAATACTGTAGGAAAGAGACTGATGGTTCATTGAAACTTAGAGAATTAATTGTTTTATTAATTAAGCTTGTTTTGACAACATTATACATGTATCTAATACATCTCCTTCCACCCTCCCCTGCTCCCCCCCCACATTCTCACACACACACACACACACACACACACACACACACACACACACGTCTATTGAATTCCTCCCTCCTTTCTATCAGTCCTTATCCCAGATTCCTGACTCTGAGTTTGTTTTTGTGGCCAATTTAGTTCAGCCAGGACCATTCTGTAAGCACTGATTGTAACTAACTATGGGAGCCTGGTGAGCTCACCAGCAGGGGCATAATGAAGGCAATGACTCCCCCCTCCCTAAATCTATCATCAGCAAATAGGCGAGCAGTGAGGAGCAAGGGCCCTTGAGCTCCACACCCTGTGTTGACTGCTAACAGTCACACAACGTGGAGTCCTGAAGACCAAAAGAAAATGAGGCTGTGGTTTCCACATGTCGGTACACAGCTATCAAAAAAAAAAAAAAAAAAAAAAAAAAAAGATAAAAGAGAAGTGTGTGCTATATTCAAGTGACGAATACTCTATGAACCCTTCTGCTGCTCTTACCAAAATTTAAAAGTCTCGCTTTAATGCAGCTCGAGGGAATGAAGTGTTTCAAAATTCTAGGACTCGCTTCCTGCTGGATGATGGGTCTGAGTTCAACACAAGCACAGCAGATTTCGTT